ATCATTTACCAAAACTAGCACACTGACCCTTGAAGAGTCCGCCTGGTTTTCAGGTACAGAAGTGATTTGCTCCACCTCAAGAGACCAAAGAACAATCTCTGACAAAATCAGTGTTAAAAAAGGAGGTGAGTCTTTTTTGGCTGGAGTCAAATCTTCTTAGACCATATTAAAACACTTCTTCTGAAATGTGTGTATCTCTATCTTGTATCGTCTAATTTAAATATGATCTTTTCCCATGTAGGCAAACGTCCCTCTATTATCATTTACAAGCCTGATAAGTCTGTCAGTGACTCTGACTCGGTGTCCCTGATTTGTGAGGCCAGCAGCTCTAATCATGCAAATATGTACATCATGTGGCAAATGAACGGTGGACATTATATCAATGGCAACAGCATGACCAGCATCAAAAACGACAACACTTCAATTGTACTTAGCTACTTAACCGTGACTGGAAAGGATTACAACAGTGCAAAAATCTGTTGTGTAGTCAAAGATGCCAACATGCAAAATGACATCCAGCCAAGAATAAGGACAATTGCTAAGAGTAAACTCCACTGTCCTACATGTCCTGTGATAGAGTGTCGCTGAGCGTCCTCTCAGACTGAGACGGTCAGGAAGCATCACTGCAGCTGTATCTGGCTGATTGAGATGCTTCCTCTAGTTCACCTGAATGGTCTCAGATGCTATTTGTCGTGATGCCTCCTCTGTCAATTATTTTTATGCTTTTCATTTGCAGTATGATGTTGAATGTGCCGTCCTCTGAATCTAATCAGTCCAAAACACTGTTATTGTTCTTATAATCAAATGACTAGTCTGTCCTCACACTTAACACACTGGCCTCTGCATGTTTCAGTGTGTTCTGTGTCCTGGACGGACATAGTTTGGTCTTTTGCGTTCTCTGTTTTTGTTTATTGTTATGTGTTCACATAATGATAAAGCATTTTAGATTAAATTTGATTCAATTTTCCCAAATGGTTATGAGGACTTGGTAGATGATCAGGATTGACCCTCATCTTATTGTCATATATGCATATATTATTATTATTCTTGCAACACTTTAAGTAATAAACAAGCATAATTGCATCTGACATCATATGTCTATCGTTCATTTTGAGGATTTTTATAAACCTTGATTTTGCACTTTAATTCTTTTGTGTCCAAAATTTCAATCAAGGCACTTGGAACTTGAATCTGCAATTAATATAATATTCCATATATGACTCTGCACATCAGCAGTATTTGTGCAATTAAAGAGGAGACCCAGCAACCAGGACAGATGGGGAGGGGGGCCCTGTTGCCCCCATCGTTGAAAAAGTGTTGCTAAAGTGCCCTCTAGTGTGGGAAAAAGAAGAGGACGTGCCCTATTGGCTGCCCTTCACATAGGAAAAAAACGACTGAGTGCCCTCTAGTGTGCCCCTTATGCAGTACACTATGATGATGTGCCCTCTACACTCTCAGTATAAAAGGCACTAAACAGTCACTGGGGCAGTGCCCCTCTTGTCTCTGGGGTGGAGCCCTCAAGGGTCCATCTCAGTACCTTTAGTCAGGGAACATAACTGAACCATAATCCACTGAAATGATATGTTCTAAGCTGTACTGACTCCACACACCCCGTCTCGTCTCCAGGCTTTTATTCTACTGTTCTGTTTTAAAACATTCGGTTATGAAAAGATACAAATACGAACTTTTCACTGGGAAAAACTTATTTAAGGTTCAAAATTGGACATTAAAACACTGTTTGAAGGCACATTACATTGTTTGTGCCTTAAATGAAAAATGTTCCTGCACAGAACCTTTATTTCTAACAGTTTAGAGCAAGAAAATTCAGAAACACGTTTTAATGGACGCCCCTCCAGTGGAGAAAATGTGAGGTGGTGCCGTATAGCTGCCCTTACAATGGAATAAACCCTCTTAGGTGCCCTCCCAAGTGAGAAAACATAATGAAGTGCCCTTGTGATGGAGAGAATAGAGATACAGTGCCCCTATAACACGTGGTCAGTCCTCCCTGTACAGTCTCCTCTACAAAGTGCCCTCCAGGGCAGGCTTTCCCAAAGTCTGCCGTTATGACAGTCTAAATGTGCAGCCAAACACTTTGATAAGATTTTGAATTTACCTCTCAAACCCTGCTTACATTCCAGACACACTGTATGATAAGGTTGGGCTAACATCTAGCTAGCATGTTGATGTAATCTCATCAGCACTGTCCATGTTTTTTATTTTTAATGTATCCTTTAGGTGAGGTTATATTATGTTAACTGTATTTGATAGTAAAAGCAGAGCTGGTCCTGACCTCCCTGGGGCCCTAAGTAAAGTTCTACAAAGAGACCCTCCTACCTGACCAATGAGCCATATAAACCATTTGCAAATGATAACGTCACACCTGACCTCCCCAGTGCTCCCACGACAGCCCTCCCTTCTTTAAAAGACTTTGCTTCATCCGTCACTCTAAGAGTAAACAGACCTACACAGAACAGAATGAGGTACAAACTAACAATATTTATGAATCAATCAATATTTACTCCTCTACTGACAAACAGAGCACCTGAAAAATTACAGGTATATGCTATTATTAATTTTATCAGCTGCATTGAGCCATTCAAACTCGCTCACACATATTTCCTAGTTTCATTCTCTTTCTACTTAGCCCATCATCAAAACATGCTTTACATTACAGTAGCTCTAATTTACTGGTTAGCCTTTTCTCCCGGTCACTTAAAAACAGAGGTGGTGATTTCTATTTCCAATTATTTGTTATTACATTAGCAGGAGGTGGATTCAAACAGGTCTTATGCTACTGGAGGAGCTGGGATTATAGAAGGTAATTCACTCTGGAATTATTACTTTGCAGACTATTACAATTTAAAAATTACAGACATGGATTAATGGACATTCGTATTGGATTAAAATCACTCAAAATGCAACACCTCCTCAGGGAAAACTAATCCAGCTCCAATATGGGTTTGAACAGGATTAGTTTTCCATAGGGAGGTAAGGGTAGTGTAGTTATTCCCAGTGTTTTACAGTGATTTTAAATTTCTACGCTAATTTCTGCAACATCCTGTCTTGCCTTGTCTTTGTCTTTCTCCGTTTCAGTCTTTGTTTTCTTGTTCCATGTGCTTTTGTTTATGTCAGCCATGTGCTTTTGTTGTTGTTCTGGTCTGTGTCTCCTCCCTAGTCCTGCCTTCTTGTTATCTGTCTCACCTGTGTGTTGTCTGTAGCCCCATTCCCTCATTAGTCTCGGGTGTTTCCAGTTTGGACCCCTGCTTGTGTGCTTTGTGTTCACTTGGTGTTTTGTTCTCTCACGGCCCATTTTGATTATCTGTCATTTGTTTTTCTAGTTTTATTCATGACCCTTTGTCTTTCTTTTTTTATGTATCAGTATTTTGGTCATTTTGGTCGGCGGCACGGTGGTGCAGTGTTTAGCGCCATGTGCCTCACAGCAAGAATGGCCTGGGTTCAATTCCTGGGTGACCAGGGTCATTTCTGTGTGGAGTTTGCCTGTTCTCCCCGTGTCTGCGTGGGTTTCCTCCCACAGTCCAAGAACATGCAGTCAGGCCAATTGGACATGCTAAAATTGCCCCTAGGTGTGAGTGTGTGTGTCTGTCTGTCTGCCCTGCGATGGACTGGCGACCTGTCCAAGGTGTATCCTGCCTTCCACCCGGTGACAGCTGGGATAGGCTCCAGTACCCCACCGCGACCCAGAAGGATAAGTGGTTTAGATGATGTATGTAAGTATTTTGGTCAATAGTGTTCTGTCTTTGTTGAGTTCCTGCCTCTTTGTCTCTACCACTATTTCGATTGCAAGGCTAATAACACACTGTACTCACTTAAAACAGCTAGGTAGATGTACATGATGGTAGATGAATTATGTTTAAATTAAATGTGTTGCTGTCTCATATACAATAAGTGGACTCTGCTTAGAGAAAATTTGGTGTAAAAAGCTATTTATTCTGGGAGATGAACACTTATTTGCTCAGAAAACACTGAAGTCCTGTTTACATCTAACATTAAAATGCATTTTCGGCGATCAGACCTTGTCCGGATTTCACTCGATCATATGTAAAGCTTTCTGTAAACACTTCCCAGGATTCATTGTGCTGGATCACTCAAACCACATTCACAGGTTGTGGGAGACACATCTTGACCTAATTTAATACAAATGTAAAGGAAATGCGTTTCTGTTATCTGCACACAATCACATGAGTGGAAACGCGTTTGCAGAGCACTGACTAACACATGAGAATAGGCGGTGAAATGAAAGACAGGGGACGCGTGAGGCTGACTTTAGGCCCAAACTGAAAGTTTCTTGCATGCTGGGGCCCTGAAAGTGTCAAAGCCAGGCTTGTCGACCCTAAAATTCTGGTCACACTGGGGACACATTTTAGAGAAAGTTTATTCAGATACAATCCAGACATGAAATGTGTTAATGCAAGGCGTAAAGAGGCTCTTATTTTACAATAATTACAAATAACTCTTATGATGAGTAGAGATTTTACACATCAATCTGTTCATTTTACTTTAAAACAGGTGCGCTGATGGAAATAAATAAATCTATGTAATGGCTGAAAACAACTAGGAGCAAAGTTTCACATTTCCAAAATGTCATTGTTGTTAGAATCATTTTTACTGTATTTGTATTTGTTCCAGTAAGCTGTGATGTGGCATTTACTGCTACATTACACAGGTGTAATATCAGCTTGTAGCTGGGAACAATCTGTGGCACTTTCACTCTTTGCTGTCTTCACTGTTAAGACACTCAGGATTAGCACATGCAGGTGGCGTGTTAACGTGAGCTCAGCAGAGCGATGGTGACCCTGCTACCTTAAAATATTTCATTAATGTTATGATATTATCTCTATATCATAACATAATGAATGTTTGATTTGTCTCTATTGTTTCATCCAGAGAGAAAATAGGGGAGGGGGCATCTTAACCTGGGCGGTGCTTCCTTCCTCAAGCTTCTCTAATTGTGTGTTATTTCAATTGTCTTGCAGATAGTGGGATTGGCTGAGAGGACAGATGTGAAAGCAGCATCATGAAGACTGATGGAAAAGCTGCTATTAAACTGACAAAGGAGGAAAGAGTGAATGGGAAAACGTCCTTCCAGCCCTTGTTGATGAGGGTCCATCGCCAACAGTGAGTAGTAAAATGATTAATTTGGGGATTTTTAACATTTTGAAGGAGCATAATCAAATTGATTGGTATAGTAAAATAAAAAGGTGGAGCACAGGACCACCACTGAGCAGATAGTTTAGATTAGGACTGTGGATCTCTCTGAGCACTGACACTGACGTGATAGTGACATGTTGGTGTTGTGCTGGTGCGATGAATCGGACACAACAGTGTTTGTGAGGTTTTTAGACACTGTACACTTAATGACCACTTTAATACACACCTGCTCACCTGCTTCTGATCACAGGACCACTGTTGGCTGGATATTTTAGGGTAGTGCACCAGGCACCTCGGAATGCCTGATACACTTGTACCAGTAAACTTTTTGCCAATTAAGAATATGTATACGCGACCGTAATTATTAATAAATGTCTAAAACGTTCACATCTGTTGTCATTTTTCTATTTTAGGGCATTATTGTTTCTTATGAATACACTCCGCTCGTTTTATTACTTTAACAGTTTTTTATTTGCTAGGTGGGCTATTTCCAAAAAAAAAGGATAAAACATCAGTAAATAATAAAAAAGACATAAAATAAATGTCAATACATCAGTGGAGCGAAATTAATAACATTTGCATTTCAAATCTGAAACCGAAACAGTGGTTGGTTTTCGGAATAACTCAGTGTATCGACGATATTTCACAACAACGGCACAAAACATGCAAATGAAACGTCTTACATTAATGGTTCGCTATGTCTTTTATCCTCAGGACGCACCCCTTTTTCAGGTTTCGAGTGCAGGACAGGCTTCAGCGAGCACAGCACACAGCGAGTGGATGGGTTAGGTAACAATAAGACTGAAATAGCCCCCCAAAAGCAGAAGTAGGAGGCCAGCAGTGTCCCTGAGACAGAGTAGAGCACACCTGCACAGGAAGAGGCCCCACATTTGCATGCATTTATGTAATTAGTTATGAAGCAGCTGTTTCTCATGGTCCAGCTTTTGTGCAGTGGTTTGTTTCAGACATGGTGGATGCCTTTTATACATTTTACTAATTAAATAAGACATTAAGACAGACTTTGTTTATACATTTTGGAATTGAACATTTCATTTGTATATGAATGTAACAGGGTTGTGACAGTAAAAGCAGGATTTAAGTGCATTTATAGATATAACATGTGTAGAAAGTGACAGACAGTAAGTTTTAGAGGAGTTTGATGAGGAGCTGTTTCCAACTTTACACCTGATACTCAGCTCAAATAATGGCAGATACCATATGCTATCATGTGTTCTCATGTCCAGTATATATAACAGTGTCATGTATTTTCACTGTCACAGTACTGTAAATTTAAACTGTTTCACTGCAGTGTTAAAATATTTTAAAACTGCAGTTAATTTACAGAAACAGAATGTAAATTCACAGAAAACTGATGATTTTACAGAGATTTATTTTAAGGGTTGTTACTTTCATTATTATGATAAAATAATGTCAACAAGTGAAGTTTATTCAATCTAAATAAACACTTTGAATGAACCATTGTGGCAATTGAAAAAAAAAAAAAATCAAGTGAGTTGAAAAAACTAGTCCAGTTGCTTGTTACAACAACATGAAACATTTCTTTAGGTTGAGCTGATGAACCATTTTTGCAGTATAGTTGAACTAATGAACTGTTGAATTACAATAAAAGGCAGTATTTCAAGAAATTACATGTAACTGGACTGTAATTTTACCATTATTGAGAAAACTAAAAATATTTTCACTGTTAATTTACAGGTTTACTGTTAATTAATGAATATGCCTACCAAAAATGATTGTAATTTCAGTGTCGTGCCATTACAGACAACACGTAACAAAACACTGTTATATCACTGAACAAAATCTGTCATGACAGCATTTGACATCTGCTGTGATATGTTTATGGCATGATTATGTCAGTGTTCAAGTAAAGTGTTCCCAAATTCTGAACTCATCTTTACAATAGTGGTGCCGATACTGTAGTTTAGGGTGATGAGGAAGAGAAAGACAAACGCTAATGTTACTGTCTCTACTGTCTCCTTCAGGTCTTTCCAGAACATCTCCGACAACACCAGGCAATCTGTGGCTGAAAAGAATGTACGAAAGTTTACTTATAAAGCGCTTTTTACAACAGGTGTTGTCACAAAGCAGCTTTACAGAAAAATCCGGGTCCAAGCCTCCATGAGTGTCGCCAATGGCAACAGTGGCAAGGAAAAACTCCCTAAGAGCAAGAGGAGAACCTTGAGAGGAACCAAGACCCAAAAGGGGAACCCATCCTCCTCTGGTCGACACCGGAGAGGAAACAGCTTTAGTATAAAATATTAGAATACAGAACAGGGAAAAAACAGGTGGAGCAATGGTTATAATTAGACAGACAGCAGAAGCAGCATCAGTAGGGTCAGTTCATGCAGGTGAGGTTTGCACAGCGTTGTACAGCATGAAGCTCCATGGTGGTCAAACCGGTCCAGAAGGCTGGCGAGCAGTGGGCACCCGATGAGTACGGAGGATGCTATCGTCCATTCGGTTTTTAATGCACTATTTCAATTTTATTTGAGATTTTTATTTTGGAAATGGACATTTGAAATATACTGTAATTTTTTTTACAAGAGAAACAAATATTTATTTTTTGCTAACATGTTAAATTCAACAAATAAACAGTGATTGGACATTAAAATGTGCTGTTCTCTGTAGAGGATGTGTTTATTTTTGCTTAGAAAATGAACAGAACATTTTAGTTTGACCAGGGGTGCCCAAACTTCTGCATTCCTGCCTTTCGGACACTTCTATCTTTAATTTCTTTTCTTAGTTTTACTTTTTTTCAAGCTACAGTGTTTGAGCTTGTTATATCTAGACAAATTAGGAGCGTTACGACGCTAAAACTGGACATTTTTTTCTGTTGTTTGTACTTATTACTGCAGTACAACAGACACAGGAATTAGAAAAGTTCCTTCTGGCTACCAAAGAACAAACTTACACGCCTTCTCATATTTCAGAGCACATCTGCTGTCAGAATTGTAACAAACTACTACAAAAAATGATCACATTGGAAGTTTCCTGAGCTTTTTTATTGTAGTTTAAGAACCAGCATTCCTGCGCTGCACGAGGAGTATCAGAGTGTGGGAGTGCTGACAGCAGGCAGCTGGGGGCTTTAATGGAGCAGTGGGCAGTGGAGACACACAGAGCTGGCCCAGCGGAACATGTGGATGGAGGCACTAATGTGAGAACAACAAGCAATAGGTCTGCAATGGAGCTAAACACAAATGTCGTGCTAACGTACAGCTCTGCAGTCTAATCCTCCACCCCCGCTAGCACAGCCCATCCTGCTAAAGCTAATGCTAAAGCTGCTGCTCAGAGACCATAGCACAAAGCCAGAGCAGATTATCGGTCCCAGTTACTTCATTTGCAGAACAGATTTGAAACACTGCAACACTACATTCTAGTTTCCTAGAAAGAACCGGAAGTATCAGTCAATCAGAGCCTCCCAGTAGAGCCACAGGGCCCCAGTCTGTGGCCACAGCACTCTTGTTTTTGGGGATGACTCTTTTAGTGCCAGGAAAAACCAAAAAGTCATAGTTCAATGTGCACCAAACACCACAGTCTGCAAACTGAAAGAAAACCTGCTTTACTGTCTGAATAAACAACAGTGAAGCAGATCATTGTTGATGTTGGTAACAATGACAAGAGGAAGCATTAAAAAGGGACTTTAACACATTCAGCAAGCCCAACCTGCAGCCATTTATCAGTGTTCCTCTGCCTGCACGGAGAACCAATACGTTCTCAAAGCTTCTTGGATTAAACACTTGGCTCCATAAAAGCTGCAGGTCAAACAGGCTGAAGTTTACTGACAACTTTAACCTGTTTTTTAGGAAGAGAGAGGTTTTTTAGGGTGAGATGGACTACAGACCAACAAGAGGGGAGTCAGATCTCTGACAGAGAACCTCATTTTCTCCAGGTGGAGACACATCAGCACCAACAGCCCAAGAACTCTATCACTCCAGAGCCACAACATCCTCCCCTCACTGAGAACACACTGACAGAGCTGCATTTTTTGGATGAGAACCTTCATAATGTTCTACCGTTTCAGCTGCTGGAGACACTAAATCCACATGAGCAGTCCACACTATCCTCCATCCCCACCCCCACTTCACCCAACCTGAACCTCCCAGCCCAAAATCAGCCCAAATTCTCCCCCATCTTCATCTACTGGCTCATCTCCACTTCCGTCCCCCAGACTTTCTAAGAAGAGTCACCAACTGTAGCAATTCAAAGAAAGAGAAGTTCCTCAACTACCGGAAAGGCAGAGCTCCACCCACATCGCACTGTTTTATGTTTTCTTTTAGCTCTGTCTCGTCTGTAATTGTCTGACCTAAGGCTGTTACGCTGATATGGCAGCTGCAGTTTTCATTTTTCTTTCTTTCATGAATTTTTATTTTTACACTTGGGGTAAGAACGAAAAACTGTACATTTATTTATTTATTTATTTATTTATTTTTTTACCAAATTATTTCATTAAAGATATTAAAGCCAGAATGGCCTTTATAGCTTTTTGAGCTTCTGTCCAGGTGACCCTTCTGTGGAACTCTTGGTGGTTCCCAATGATGGGAAATCAGAACTTCAGCAACTTTTGTGTACTGGAACTGGATCTAAGCCGGAGATCAAATGGCTCTCCAAATCTGGGACTAGAACTGGTGCCTCTAGTAAATTCGTGCCCCAAGCAGATGGACGCGTGAAAGTGTCCAGTGAGATAGAAGTGGCGCTGGAAGAGTGGAACAAAGGGGAGGAATTTACCTGCCAGGTCACTGATCTTCAGAAAACAGTGGAGAAGAGAACCAGTGTTTGTGCAGGTAAGATTTGAAAATGTCCAGGATTTTTTCTGTAAACTGACATTCAGGGTTTGATTCATTCAATCATTCATTCATTCACTGTTGTTTACCCTTAGATGTACACAATTCATGAGTTTCTGGGAACATTTATCATAGTTTTTCTATGCCTGTTGGACTCTTGGGTTCAAGGAATACATGTAACAGTATTCCATTACAGTTAGAGTATAAAAGACAGTAATCACATTACAGGTACACTATAAAAATAAAAGTCTGGTGGTCACCAGCAGAATTAAATTAAAAGAGCACACACGCAAAATCGTTGCCTTTCAACAACATTTACCATTTTTAATGATAAATTTGTTACATGAGTCGTGTAGATTTGTAGAATTTTTCATTTTGGGGAGAGAGAGCGGCCAGCAGAGCATTCTGAAGTAGTATCTCCCTCTCAGATAGCAGTCCATGGTCTTTTATTGAGCCAAACTATAGAAATTTCAGATGTTTTTTTAATTGGCAGTTTCTCAAAGATGAATCAGTCATTTACCCTGTTTTTTACATACTGTCTGATTCTACAGCAGTGATTTGATCTGGAAGTAACTCTTCGACTTTCTTTTCTTCCTACATAAACTTGCTGCACTGTTAGAAATAAAGGTTCTGTGCAGGTACATTTTTCGTTCATTGAGGTACAGACAATGTAAATGATGCCTTAAAGGTACAACAGTGGTTTTAAGGTCCAATTATATAATTTAAGTACGTTTTTCCAGGTGAAAAGTTCGTATTTGTACCTTTTCATAACTGAATGTTTTAAAACAGAACAATAAAATAAAAGCTTGGAGGCGAGACGGGGTGTGTGGAGTCAGTACAGCTTAGAACATATCATTTCAGTGGATTATGGTTCAGTTATGTTCTCTGACTAAAGGTACTGAGATGCACCGTTAAGGGGGAACCACCTCAGTGGCAAGAGGGGAACTGCCCCAGTGACAGTTCACTACCTTTATTTCTGAAGTGTCTAACTTTTATATAAGCTTCCCCCTCCTTGCCTTCTATACACTGTTATCTGTGTTTATTTGTATGTATTTTAAATTGTGCAAAAAGTAAACTAACTAAACTCTTTTCTTCCTACTTAGAATTCTCCTGTTTGCACAGCTATAAACTACTAGCTAATTTTGCCAACATGCTGCAGTGAGCTAACATTAACATTAACTAAGAAAAATAACATGGAACAAAATAATAACAACATGAAAACAGACTCCTTAGCAGGAAAGCTGGTTCTATTTTAGCTTACATGATTTCTTTCTTCAAAAGTTTTCAAAAAGTGGGAGCAGAAATGTTAATATGTGTAGATCATTGTTACAGGTAACTTAATCAGTCCATTAACATTTTTACAAGAATATATTTTTAAGTTGATCAGCAAAAACATTAAAAGTCATTTATTTCTACCTTTATCAGTTAAATAAAGAAAGAGAATTAACAAATCACAGATTCTTGCTTTTATAGCATTTTTACAAATTGTCCCATCTTTTCCGGATAATTGGTTTATATATGACGGTAACAAGACAATCTAAAAGTGATGGAAAGTAATTACTTTAACCCTTGTGTGGTGTTGGGGTCTGCAGGACCCATTTTCAATGTTTACCAAAAGAAAAAATGATGTGAGTTATTATTATTTTAACCTCAGATTTTTGGCCTTTGCTCATTTTCTGTGAAGAACATATAAAATAACCCATTTTCAGTGTCTTCACTCTGTTCACCCCCCACACATTTATATTACACATGTGGTGTTGGGTGAACCAGCTGGGAGTAAAAGAGTGGAGGTGCTGTGTCCTTCACTCTGTTCTCCTCCTACATGACCTGCTGTTAGTGTGTGTGTGTCTGTGTGTGTGTATGTGTTTGTATATGTGTGTGTGAGGGTGGACAACATGGACAGGCTGCTGACTGGCTACAGCTGCTAAAGGAGAACCCTACACTGGACACTTGTGATATTTTAAACATCTGGTATTTTTACATAAATTGTTATCACTGTATTGATTTAAAAGACCAATAATGCAGTGGGTCCACCAGACCACTGAGTAACAAACACTTCAACACCACATAACGGTTAAAATAGTAATCCTTTGGATTATGTTACAGATAAAAGTTTTAATCAGTAATAAGTAATCTATACCAGAATACATTTTTAAAGTAATCCTCCAAACCCTGAAAGCCTTAAAATTACTGACCGCATATTATATTCTCTGGATTTTCAGCTCATCCATCAGTTGCACCACCAATACGCCTGGAGAAACCTCGCCTCTTCAATCCGTCTCTACAGCCACATTCAGCAGTAACAGCTTCCTGTGTTGCTGAAGCTGCGCCCAACTCCAGAGTTTCATGGGTTTTGAGTGGAAACATAGAGAAGAAAGCCAGTAAAGAGATGACAGAGGAGCGACTCAGCAGCAACACTCGGCTCTTTGTAAGCAAACTGACTCTGCCAGCAAGAGAATGGGAACAATATCAGAATGTAACATGCAGAGTTAAACAGCCATGTGATGATCTACCTGAGGAGAAAACTGTTAATGTTCTAGGTAAGCATTTCAGAAAATCTTCCCAATCCCAATTAAATTAACTATAGATGTTGGTGGCATCCGTTTCACTGCCACAGCTCACGCATCACTTCCGATGTCATGCAAACCTCCTCCAGACTCTCCTCCATTGTGGCATCGATGACATTAAGTGTGCTCATGTGCGCCACCCACGACTCTTGGGGATCCGTCCACTAGCACTGGTGCTGCATGCCCATTAAAAGTCATGGTGTTTTTGACCTGACAGCGCATTTCACCCCCAGGGTTCTGCCCACCAAATCTAGTGCTGCCTCTTCCAGGGCTAGTGGTTTCCCCTACGGAAGATGAAGGCCTCTCTTGGCCTTGACTCCACCGCCCTTCTTGCCTTTTCTCCAAGCCCAGTGTTGCCTTTTTGAGGTCAAGCATGGCCACAGTCACCACTAGATAATCCAAGCACTCAACTCAACTCTGACCCCCCCCTGACATGACTGAGAGTCATTTTCTCCCCCTCTTGCTGACTCAGCTGTCTGGTGTGCCATTCTCGATGTACAACCGTGCAATATAGATAACATGGCAGTCAATATATCTGAAAAAATCTGGACTATGTCGTCCATGTCATCAAATATAAGTGCCTGTTTTGTATTATTTATCCTTGGAGTTTTACTGCAGTTAAATTAAGCATCTTTTTCTTTGTTTTATAGAAATCTCTCCACCAACTATCCATCTGCTGGAATTTGGCCACTCCATAATGTGTATCCTTGAGGACTTCTACCCAAAGGCCCTCAGTATTAAATGGAAAAAGAATGACCGTGAAGTCAGAGGTCGAGACTGGATAACCACAGAAAATGACTCGGGTTCTTACAGAGCGGTCAGTGTCCTCGATGCAGATCTGAAGTCTTCAAGCCCGGGAACCAAATACACCTGTGAAGCCACACACGGGGGCAGAACATACACAGAATGTCTGTCGTGTAGAGGTAATCTAGTGTCATCATTGGACTGGTTATGTAGGGGAAATAACATTATAAAATGGATAGTTACTGTCCTAAAATCTGATTGGCTGAGCCGTGTTCAAAGCCTTATGCACTTCAAATGTCTGTGTTTCAGTCAGAAGTGGCGTCAAACCCAGGCTGAATCCCAAACGGCTTCGTACTCCCTACATAGTGTGCTGTGTAATGTTAAGTTTAGAAATTCTAGCTTCTGCTGTCGAATATGAATGTGGATGAATCCCAAATGATTATTTTTTGGCAATATTTTGCATTGTTGGGCTGCAGGATCCAGTATTTAAATTTCTAAATAGTGCACTATGTAGGGAGTAGGGAGCTGTTTGAGATTCAGCCCCAGTGTGAGAAAAGTGGTGGTGATTTGGTGACCAAAAAGTACTTAAAATCTGAAAGTTTTTGCATTAAACAGTGCTGTGTTATCATAAGTTCATTGTTATACAAAAAAAAAGTTTTAAAAATCATGAAATGTCTGCAGTTTACAGTGATTGACGACTGAACATTCTTCTCTTATTCAGCGGTCAATGGTTGCTTAGCAACGATACCGCACTCTAAAGGAACTACATTTCTTGGTGGAATACTTGTTTAGGTTGATTATTATTAATAATAACTTATCTAAAACATTGTGTATTTTATCATATTTTATGTTGGCCACCGTTTTATAAAAGCAATAATCCACTCGAGGCTGTGCGTTACTGCAATTTTAGCATGGGGAGGGAGTTTTAGGCGCTCCACTTCATGTCATGCCTAAGAACAGTGATAAAATCACAGTTAAACACACAAAAATCAGAGCCACCCTTCATTTATTTCATTTGAAACTATAACTGAAAAAAAAACATATCCTGACCTTTTTCTCAGTGAGGTTCTTCTTGATCAGCTACACATCCTTTCAGACCCACAGCGCTGAGTCGTCTTCTCACAGTGGAAGGATGGACAGAAACACCTGTGGATGTTTTCAGATCTGAAGCAGCTTGATTTTCTCCTCTCTCTCAAAGATGAAAGCTTTAAGTGCTGTTTATCTGATGGGGCAGTTTTGGTGTCTATCAGGTCTTGAAAAATACATAAATACAACAAAAAAATATTGGAAAGACAAATTATAAAATTGTCTTTAGCAGTGTATTGCTATTGACCATTACTGCCTGTTACTGAAGATAATATTTTTTTGGAAATAAACATCAAACATCAAGTTTTGATGAAATTATGAGTTGAATATTATGATTGTCAGGCCTGTGGATGAAATGATAGACAGTCTAGTCTCTGTCGAAGAGGTCAGGGTCATAAGGTGGTCTAAAACATCTCAGATGTACCCTTGTTTTTGGACTTCTCTCAAAAGGTCCTGTCGTATTTGAGCAGCTTACTTCCGGGGGCACATGCTGGGAGGCAAAAGCTGACAAAAACATTGGATTGTAAACAAGAGTGGAGCTTGATTTTCTTCTATCTCTCAAAAATGATAACTTTATGTGGTGTTTATTTGATGGGGACAGTTTTGAGGGTCTGACAAATCTTGCATGGTTGTTAAGAGTCCCAATTTGTCCTTTAATCATAGTCTTTAATTTAATCTCCAAGAAATATCTTTCAAAAAAAGGGAAAAAAAATCACTTTCTGCATTAGAAATGAAATAAATGAAGGATGATCTCGGGCTTTGATACAGTACTGTATATCATTTTCCAGATAATAATGTCAATTAAGCCATAATTAATTTCAATTAATTTATAATTATATATAACTTCACTTTCTTTATTCATTTTAGTGATATATGTTTTTTTTCTTTTTCATGTAGCTCAGTTCTCTCTGAAAATCTATCCACCACAAGCAAAGGACCTGTTTATAAACAAAAAAGCAGTAATCGAGTGTGTCATAACTGGTGATAATAGGAAGGAGGTGGAAGGAGCAACAGTGTCATGGACAGTTGGAGGTCGGAGCCCAGCAACTCGTGATGTTCGTGTTGGTGGTGTTACACAGACAAGATCATCATTTACCAAAACTAGCACACTGACCCTTGAAGAGTCCGTCTGGTTTTCAGGTAGTGAAGTGATTTGCTCCACCTCAAGAGACCAAACAACAATCTCTGACAGAATTCGTGTTAAAAAAGGAGGTGAGTCTTTTATTGCTGGAGTCAAATCTTCTTAGACCATATTAAAACACTTCTTCTGAATTGTGTGTATCTCTATCTTGTATCGTCTAATTTAAATATGATCTTTTCCCATTTAGGCGAAACCCCCTCTGTTATCATTTACAAGCCTCAAAAGTCTGTCCTTGTCACTGATATGGTGTCCCTGATATGTGAGGTCAGCAGCTCTGATCTCGGGGATGTGTTCATCATGTGGCAAGTAAATGGTGGACAGTACATAGAAGGCAACAGCATGACCAGCATCAAAAAGGACAACACACTGACCGTCTTCAGCTACTTAACCGTGCCTGGACTGCAGTACAACAGTGCAGAATTCACTTGTGCAGTCAAACATGCCAACATGGAGAACAGCAACACACTGACAACAAGGACAACATCCATGCGTAAAGCAAACTGCCAGGCACCTGCAATAATGAGTATTAGAGTTAAATTGTAAAATCTGTCCTAACACTTTACACACTGGCCTCTCCATATGTCCTGGCTGGACATTGCTCTGCTCTGTCTTTTGCTTTCTCTGTTTTTGTTCATAATCTGCTTGTGTTCATTGCAATGTGCTCACATATTGGTAAAGCATCTCAGGTTAAAATTTGATTTAATGTTCCCAAGCATTTATGGGGACTTGGTAGGTGATCACGACTGACCCGCAGTAATATGAGCTTATTGCCACATATGCATATATTATTATTGCAACACTTGAAACAATAAATAAGCATGATTGCATACGACATCATATGTCCCTCTTTCATTTGGAAGACTTTTATGTGCCTTATTTTTTCTTTAATTTCTTTTGTGACCAAAATCTTCAATCAAAGCACTTAGAATAACCTACAATTCATATATTAGTCCATATTTCACATATTCCATATTGCTGATGTACATGAGTAATATTAGTTTAATAGGAGAGGAGATCCAGCAAACAGAAGGCTGTGGGCTCAAATCCCAATCCTATGCACTCCTAGCTGTGCCCTTGGGTTTATACAATACCTGTTAGTTCATATTGTAGTAAACCTGGAGTTTAACTAGGTAGTGTAACACAGCCTCCACCTTTGTTAACCGAGTAAGGTTCAGATCAGAGGCTTCAGCAACCATCACCCACAAACACAGGAGTAAGTTAAGCACATCTTTATTTAGATTTTCAAATCTGAAAAGAGGTTCAGGCAAGCAAAACAAGCATTCCTCGAGAGTTAACTAAGAGAACGGATCATTACACACCAAAACACCCACTACAATCAGCTACCTAATAATTACTCACTCTCACTCTCACCACTACAAACCACCTACACTACAAAATTCTCAAGTGAAACCAAACACTGAAAGTGTCCCTTAATCCGCCCACAGGCCGACTCACTCTTAACCTACTTCACCAACTCCTCTACGCTATTTAAAATAACACATATATAATCCAATAAACACAAGAGAAAATCAAAACATCCACTTAACTCACCCGCTGGTGAGACCCTCCCCTGGCTCAGAGCATTGGCAACGCCCGAGTTTCCCAGGATATCACAAAGGGCCGGAATGACACTCCAGTGATAGTCACTTGAACTTCTGACTTATCTTCATATTGGAGGCTACTGTCCATCCCCTCCTTGCACAAGAACAGCTAAACCACCTACTACCTACAGTACCTACAGTAGCGAAAGACATCCTCTCGCACAAATACACACTTTTCACAGCCACCCAGGCTCTCGCTCACTCCCACAAGTGAGTAGACAGGCTCTGCAACCCCCCCACCCCCCACCCCCCGTACGCTACGCTTTCCCTTTTCTCAATTCTATGCTTCCTTTCCAATCACTCACCAGTGTATCTTCACTCTACTAGTCAGGGTCCCCACCTCCACAACTGTCTCACTGTAATATGCTGTCAAGTGACACATCCTTTGCAAATAGTGGTTGGTATAGTGTAGTGGGTAAGACCTCTGTCTTCTATGCTGTAGACTGGGGTTCGTTTCATGTCTGGGTAAGCCCCCTACACTATATCTATAAGAGTCATTGGGCAAGACTCCTAACACTACTTTCGCCTCCCTGTGTAAAATGATTAAAATTGTCACATTATTATGACCACTTCATGTCCACAAGCTGGTGGCGGCAGCGTTATGGTCTGGAGAATGTTTTCGTGGCATTCTCTGGGCCCACTCATCCATTTGGAGGGCAGTCTGAACTGATTTGGGTATGAATCCATCCTTGCAGATCACAAACACCCATACATGATGATTGTCTTCCCTGGGGTAGATGGGATCTTCCAGCAAGATATTACGAAATGTCACATGGCTAGAAATGTCCAACATTGGTTGAAAGAGATTAGCATGGCTCTAGATACCTGTGACAACCTACCAGGACCTTATTGAGTCCCTCCCAGCCTGTCTAGCTGCTGTCTGCGCTGCACACAGCGGTTACTCTGGATACTAACTGGTGGTCAAAATAATGTGACTCGACTGTGTAAATGAGGTGGAAAAAAATTTAGAGGGAGGTTTTTTATTGATGGGTAAAATTGTACAAGTGAAACTGTAAAAATTTTAGAAATTTCTGCTTCCAAAAAACCTGGGATGCTGTGCAAAATGTAAATATAAACAAAATGCAATGATGAGCAAATCATTAACCTTATATTTAATTGAAAAAAGTACTAAGACAGCATATCAAATGCTGAATCTGAGAGATTTTACTCTTTTTTTGAAAAATATATACACATTTTGAATTTGATGCCAGCAACACTTTCCAAAAGAGTTGGGACGGGGCATGTTTACCACTGTGGTGCATCACCTCTTCTTTTAACAACACTCTGTAAGTGTTTGGGAACTGAGGAGTCCAACTGCTGTAGTTTTGAAAGTGAAATGTTTTCCTGTTCTTGTTTGATATAGGATTCCAGCTGCTCAACAGTTTGGGGTCTCCTTTGTCATATTTTTGTTTCATAATGCGCCAAACGTTTTCAGTGGGTGACAGGTTCAGAGTGCAGGCCAGTTTAGCACCGGTTTTGGACTATTTTACTACAGAGCCATGCTGCTGTAATACAAGGAAAATGTGGTTTGGTATTATCATACTGAAACAAGTAAGAATTTCCCTGAAAAATATGTTGTCTGGATGCTGCTCCAAAACCTGTATTTATCATTCAGTATTAATGGTGCCTTCATAGATGTGCAAGTCACCCTGCTATGCGCACTAATGCGCCCCCATACCATCACAGATGCTGGCTATTGAACTGTGTGCTGATAACAAGGTGGGTGATTTTTAGCCTGGAGGACACATTTCCAAAAGAATTTCAAATTTTGATTCACTGGACCACAGGACACTTTTCCACTTCGCCTCAGGCCATCTTAAATTAGCTCAGGCCCAAAGAAGGCGGCGGCGTTTCTTAATCCTGTTTATATGTGGTTTCTTCTTTGCTTTAACTTGCATTTCTGGATGCAGCAATGAAGTGTGTTTACAGACAGTGGTTTTCGGAAGTGTTTGTGAGCCCATGCAGTGATTTCCACTGCAGAATCACCACCATGAGCAGTGAGCTTCTCCCCATCTTTACTTCTGAAAGACACATTTTACAGAAAATAGTAAATGGAATGCAGTCAAAGTTTTTTTTAGATATGATCCAGACACAAAACATGTAAATACAAGGTGTAAACAAGCTCTTATTTTACAATAAGTACCAATAATATTCATATGATAAGTAGAGATTCTACAAATGTCAGTGTGTTCATTTAACCAACACAGATTTTTTGACTTAATCAAGAAAGTCAAATATTATTTCCACCAATGATATATCATCCATTATGTTAAATCTAGTAATAAGGGAAATATGTAAATCCATGTAATCCTGAAGACAACCCGGAGAGAGCTGGAACCAAAGCTTGCTCTTTAAAGTAGTTCGTGAAAATTTAACATTTTCAAAATGTCTTCTTGTTAGAATCTTATTTCCTGTATTTGTATTTATTCCAGTAATGGCATTTGATGTGGCATTTACTGCTACATTACACAGGTGTTATGTAGCATCTGTGGCAGTTTCCACTCTTTGCTGTCTTTACTGTTCAGCCACTCAGCACTTACACATGCAGGCGGCATGTGAACATCAGCTGAGCAGAACATTAGTGACCCTGCTACGCTAAAAATATCTGCATTGTGTTAATGTTACCATTAGATTTGTCCTCATTATTTTCTCCAGAGAGAACAGGGGGGGAGGGGTGTCTTAACCTGGGCGGTGCTTCTTTCCTCAAGCTTCCCTGTGTGTTTTTCAGCTGTTTTGCAGATGCATGCATACGATTGGCTGAGATTACAGAAAACTACAACGTGAAGAGTGATGGAAAAGCTGCTAATAAACCAACAAAGGAGGTTAACAGTAGAGGGTGAAAGGGAAAACGTCCTTCCAGTCTGTGTTGGTGAGGGTCCATCGTCAACAGTGAGTAGTAAAACTATTAATTTGGTGATGTTTAGCATTGAAGGAGCAAAATCAAACTGATGGTAACTGACCAGATGTTTTAGATTAGTGTTGTGGATCATTCTCAGCACAGCACTGACACTGACGTGATAGTGACATGTTAGTGTTGCGCTGGTCTGATGTATCAGACACAACAGTGTTTCTGGGGTTTTTAGACACTGTACACTTAATGGCCACTTTAATACACACCTGCTCACCTGCCTCTGATCACAGGACCACTGTTGGCTGGATATTTTAGGGTAGTGCATAAGGCACCTCAGTAATGCCTGATACACTTGTACCAGTAAACGTTTTAGTTAGTTTTTAATTATTTAAATGTCTAAAACATTCACATTTGTTGTCATTATTGTTTATGAATACACTCAGCTTGTTTTGTTGCTTTAACGTTTTCTTTCATTTGCTAGGTGGCTTATTTTCATTCAGACAAAAAGAATAAAACATAGATAAAACAAATAATAGCAAGAAATAAAACAAGCGTAAATCATCTGGAGCAAAATTAATAACATTTGCATTTCAATTCTGAAACCGAAACAGTGGTTGGTTTTCGAAATAACTCAATGTCTCAACAATATTTCAGAACAACGGCACAAACATGCAAATGAAACGTCTTATGTTAATACTTCACTGTCTTTTATTTTCAGGACTCACCCTTTTTCAGGTTTCGAGTGCATGAAAGGCTCCAGGGAGCACAGCACACAGCGAGTGGATGCGTTGGGCAACAATAGGACTCAAATAGTCCCCCAAAAGCAGAAGTGAGAGGCCAGCTGTGTCCGTGAGACAGGGTGGAGAACACCTGCACAGAAAGGACCGCAATATTTGCATACATGTATGTAATCAGTTATGTAACAGTTGTTCTTTGTGGTCCGGCTTTGGTACAGTGACTTGTTTCTGACATGGTTGGATGACTTTCCCACATTCTACTAATAAAAGAAGACGTTTGAAACAGGCTTTGTTCTCAATGAAGGTTTTTATTACACTTTTTTTTTTTTTCGCTCAAATAATTGAACATTTTATTTGTATTTGAGTGTATTTACAGATGTAAAACGTATAGAAAGCAGAAAGTAAGTTTTAGAGGAGTATAATGATACTCATACTCAATACTCATTTCAGCTGGAATCACAATTGTACACTAGTTAGATCACAATACATATGTAACGTTTATAGCACAAAGCTCTCTGTTAATGTAATAAGTAAAATAAAGGAAGAAGCTCACAGTTCATTCACATTCTGTCCGTTTTTTTATGTAAATGTTCCCAGCGCATTTCATCACATGACATTTACCATAAAATCTGTCTTACCCAACAGATTTTATGGTGAATGTCATGTGATGAAACTTTTCTACATAATACTGACATCATAAGCATATCACGGGCAGATAACACATGCTGTCGTGAGTTGTCTTGTCCAGTAATATAACGGTGTCATGTGTTTTCACTGTCAATGTACTGTAAATTTAAACCATTTCTGTAAATTAACTGCAGTGTTAAAATACAGTGTATATATATATATATATATACTGTATTTTAACACTGCAGTTAATTTACAGAAACAGAACGTAAATTCACAGAATAATCATGATTTTACAGAGATTTATTTTATTTTATTTATTTATATTATTTTAAAATTACTGTAAAAAGTCAAATTTAATGGCCAACCTATTTTTTCTTTCTTTGTGTGTGTGAGCTGAACATCATGGCCTCCAAACAACAGTGAAGCAGATCATTGTTCGTGTTGGCAAGAATAACACGAGAAAGCAGAGTATGAAGTATTAAAACAGGACTTTAATGATCTTTAACACACTCAACGAGCTCAACCTGCAGCCATTTATCAGTGTTCCTCTGCCTGCATGGAGAACCAATATGTTCTCAAGGCTACTTGGATTAAACACTTGGCTACATAAAGTTGTCAGTGACTGAACTACTGACAACTTTAACTGGTTTTTTGGGAAGAGAGAATTTTTAGGATGGGATGGACTACAGACCACTAAGAGGGGAGTCAGATCTCTGACAGAGAACCTCGTTTTCTCCATGTGTGACTCATCCACTCCCATTGGTGGAGCCAGACAGTAGCACAAAGACTCTGTCATCACTCTAGAGCCACAACATCCTCCCCTCACTGAGAATACACTGACTGAGCTGCATGTATTGGATGAGAACCTCAACAATCACCAAATCCACACTATCCTCCATCTCCACCCCCTCTTCACCCCACCTGAACCTCCCGGCCAAAAATCAGCCTGGATTCTCCTCCACCTTCATCTACTGCCTCATCTCCACCTCCGTTCCCCAGACCTTCTCCTAAGAAGAGTCGAGCTCCCCCACCAGCTGTAGCACCTCAAAGAAAGAGAGAAGCCCCTCAACCACAGAAAGGCAGCTTTGCACTCTACCTCATCATCAGCAGGAGCTCCACCCACATTGCATTTTTTTATGTATTCACTTGACTCCGTCTTCTCTATTATTTTCTCACGTAAGGTCATTACGCTGATATGGCAGCTGCAGTTTTGATTTTGCTTTCTTTAATGGATTTTTATTTTTATACTTGGGGTAAGAACGGAAAGTGAACATTTATTTATTTATTTTTACCAAACTAATATATTAAAGCCAGAATGGCCTTCATAACATTTTGAGCTTCTGTCCAGGTGACCCTTCTGTGGAGTTCTTTGTGGTTCCCAGTGATGGGAAATCAGAACTTCAGAAGCTTTTGTGTACTGGAACTGGATTTGACCTGGAGATCAAATGGCTCCCCAACTCTGGGAATACAACTGGTGCCTCTAGTAAAGTCATGATGGAAGCAGGTGGACACGTGAAAGTGTCCAGTGAGATAGAAGTGGCGCTGGAAGAGTGGAACAAAGGGGAGGAATTTTTCTGCCAGGTCACTGATCTTCAGGAAACGGTGGAGAAGAGTGCCAGTATTTGTGCAGGTAAGATTTGAAAATGTCCAGGATTATTTCTGTAAACTGACATTTACAGTAAGTATTTAAAAAAGAATTCAGGGTTTTAGTGATTTATTCCTTTATTCAATCATTCATATATTTTTGAGTATACCTTAAGATGTGTACACGATCCATGAGTTTCTGTGAACATTTATCATAGTTTCTCTAAGCCTGTTGGGTTAAAGGAATACATGTAATGGCTTTACAATAATCAGGATGCAACAAAAGGTCACTGTAGTCTTTTACAGTTGCTGTAAAAAAGGCAGTAATCTCATTACAGATGCATTATGAGAATTAAAGTCTGGTGATTTTCAGCAGCATTACATTGAAAGTACATACAGGCAAAATTGGTGCCTTTCAATGAAATTTGCAATTTTTAATGATAAATTTGAAACATAAACTGTGTAGATTTGTGGAGTTTTTAATTTTGGGAAGAGGGCAGGCTATCGCCAGCAGAGGATTCTGAAAAAAGATTCCCCCTCACAATCAGCAGTCCACAGTCTTTTATTCAGCCAAACTATAGAAATTTCAGTATTTCGTTTTTTTTTGTTTGTGGCAGAGATCTGACTCAGTCATTTACCCTGTTTTTTACACATTGCCTGATTCTACAGCAGCAAACTGATCTGGAAGTAAAATCTTATATTCTCTTTTCTTCCTACATAAAATTCTACTGTTTGCATAGCTATAAACTGGCTACTACCTATCTTTTCCCAATGTGCTGAAGTGAGCTAATATTAACATTAATAAAGAAGAATAACATGGAACAACACAATAATGAAATGTGAAAAGTTGGTTCAATTTTTGCACATATGATTTCATTCTTCAATAGTTTTTTGAGCAATGAGGGCAAAAATGTTAGTATGTGTAAATCATCATTACAGGTTAAAAAACACAATCCATTCACACTTATATATTTTTACTTAGAAAATACAATCAAGTTGGTCAACCAGCCAGTAAAAGTCATTTCTTTGTACTTTTGTCAGTTAAATGAAGATTCAAGAGAATTAACAGATTCTTGTTTTATAGCATTTTACAAAATGTCCCAACCTTTTTGGTTTGGTATATTACTTTAACAAGACAAGTAATCTAAAAGTGATGGAAAGTGATCATATTATATTACTTTACACTGTTAGAAATAAAGGTTCTGTGCAGGTAAATTTTTCGTTCATCAAGGTACAAACAATGTAAATGTCCCCTCAAAGGTACAACAGTGGTTTTAAGGTCTGATTGTGAACCTTAAATAAGTTTTTCCAGGTGAAAAGTTCGTATTTGTTCCTTTTCATAACCGAATGTTTTAAAACAGAACAGTAAAATAAAAAGCCTGGAGACGAGACGGGGTGTGTGAAGTCAGTACAACTATACAAAATATAAACAAATATAATTTCAGTGGATTATGGTTCAGTTATGTTCCCTGACTAAAGGTACTGAGGTGAACCCTTGAGGGTCCCACCCCAGCGACAGTGTCGTACCTTTATTTAATCCTTTGGATTATGTTACAGATAAAATATTTTAATAAGTATTAAGTAATCTACACCCGAATACATTTTTAAAGTAACCCTCCCAAACCTGTCTGGGGCAAATAAAACCCCATAAAACTTCAATTACTGACTGGATATTATATTCTCTTGGATTTTCAGCTCATCCATCTGCACCCCTGATACATCTGGAGAAACCTCGCCTCTCTGATTCGTTCCTACAGCCACGTTCCGAATTAACAGCTTCTTGTGTTGTTGAAGCTGCGCCCAACTCCAGAGTTTCATGGGTTTTGAGTGGAAACATAGAGAAGAAAGCCAGTAAAGAGACGAAAGGGGAACAACTCAGCAGCAACACTCGGCTCATTGTTAGCAAACTGACTCTGCCGGCAAGAGAATGGGAAAAACATCAGAATGTAACATGCAGAGTTAAACAGCCATGTGATGATCTACCTGAGGAGAAAACTGTAAACATTCTAGGTAAGCATTTTAGAAAATCCACCCAATTACACCATTAAATGAACTATAGATGTAAAGATTTACAGTGCATAGTTAGAGGTCATCTGAAAGTTCAGCTGCATAGATTTTGAAACTTAAAATACAATATTATTGATAATAATAATATTGTGCCAATGGGGGTGAAGAAGACCAAGAGGATGCCATTATTTCTGCTCAAGGAAGTAAAAGCCCACTGAAAAATAGTCTGAATAGCAGGAAAGGTCACTTCTTGCCATACAACCTCTTTACGGTAGACACGCAAATCCACACTATCTAACCCTCACCTCACACAATAAAGCACAAACACATCGTAAACCAACAACCACAACTTAAACAACAGCAACAACGACTGTCCTCTTAAAGGAGGTGGGTGGCATTCCCCTAAAGTCCCTTCTGAAACATGGAGTGAGTGGACAGGGGCCGTCCCTGCGGGCGTGAGTCATATGCCTGTTTTGTTGAGAACTGGCCATGACCTGGTGGTTGCTAGTGAGCTGGTGCACTGCAAGGAGATGGTGGCTGAGCTTCTTGGAAAACTGTGTGACTTCCCAGGCACCGATTCCTGCCGCACTCGGTACAGCAGCTGGTTGTGCACCTGGAGGCTGTCCCTGCCACATCTGTCCAATATGGTTTCCACCCCTCCTAGAGCCAACTGCATGCCCAGGAGAGCTGTGCGTCCTCCTCTTCAGCACCGGTGCCAAAAGGAGTGATGGCAACAGCAGTGGCGCAGTAAAGGCACTTCTCAGCAGGCAGGACAGGGTATTGGTGTTACTCTTCAGGGGCTCAGCACAGTGTCAGATGGGGAAGAAGTACTCCTATGGGGACATGACCTTATTACTTGACCCTAGGGCTGTTTGAACTGCATGAGCAGGTCAACGAGGCGTGATCAGTGGGCAAAACGAAGGGGACTGTGTACAGGTAAGGATGGAAATGGTGCAGCCCCACCATGATGGCCAACAGCTCCCTTTGAGTCCCCCAGTAGTTGCCCTCTGGCTTACTCAAATGTTGGCTGTAGTATGCGATGAATCTCTCATTCCCGCCCTGTACTTGATATGACTGGGCCAATGCTCTTGTCTCTGGTGTGTGTCCACAACTAACTTGGCCCCACCCTGGGGAATGCCACTATCGGATCCTCATTTAGCTTGGCGTGGAAGGCAGCAAACCTATACTCAGCTTTCTAGTCTCATTGAATAGTCACATCCTTTTCCGTGAGCTGGTGTAACTGTGAGGCTATGCCGGCAAACCCACACGTGAAGCGCCGGTACAAGGCCAGACCAAGGATGCTTTGCAGCTCACCGACTGGGCCACTTCCGCATCGTGTCAACCTTTCCTGGGTCTGTTTCCAAACCACTGAAGGATTGCATTTTTCATGTGCAGCCAGAGGTTTACAGACTTGATATCCTGGATTACCTGCAACACCAAAATAGGTAAAATATGTAACAGGCATTGGAGATGCCGGAAAGCACTCACTCTATCAGCTGCTTGAAAGCCATTACCATAAACTGCCATATGGTGACGCCCATGGGCTACTCAATGGCTTAGTGATTCCCACTGTCACCATCTCCTTTATTTCTACTCCGTGGCCTCTTTCTTTGCTTGTGGAAGACTGTGAGGGCAGAGCCAAACTGGAGCAGTGCCACCGCTGCTGATGCTGAATGGCACTAAGTTGGTCTCTATACAGTCTTCCTCCGGGGATCCGTCCACTGGTGCTGCATGTCCAGGTCCACCCGCATAAGTGACTTCTCCCACGAAAAGTCATGGTGTCTGACAGCACACCCCACCCCCAGGGTTCTGCCCACCAAATCTAGTGCTGCCTCTTCCAGGGCTAGTGGTTTCCCCCACAGAAGATGAAGGCCTTGCTGCCAGGGAGCCTCGACTCTCTGCCTTGACTCCGCCACTCTTCTTGCCTCTTCTCCAAGCCCAGTGTTGGGTCAAGCATGGCCACAGTCACCACTAGATAATCCAAGCACGCATCTTGTATGGCCATACTTGACTCAGACCCCTCAGGAAGACTGAGAGACATTTTCTCTCCCTCTTGCTGACTCAGCTGTCTGGTGTGCCATGGTGTTCTCCATGTAAAAATACATGCAATATAGATAACATGGCAGTCAATATATCTGAAAGAATCTTCTGGAATACGTCATCTATGCAACCAAAGTTCATCTTTTGTGTTATTTATCCTTGGAGTTTTACTGCAGTTAAATTAAGCAACTATTTCTTTATTTTATAGCAATCTATTCACCAACTATCCATCTGGTGGAATTTGGCCAGTCCATAACATGTATCATTGAAGACTTCTACCCAAAAGACATCCGTATCAAATGGAAAAAGAATGACGTTGAAGCCAGAGGTCGAGACTGGATATCCACAGAAAACGACTTGGGTTATTACAGAGCGGTCAGTGTCCTTGAAGCAGATCTGACGTCTTCAAGCCTGGGAACCAAATACACCTGTGAAGTCACACACAGGGGCAGAACATACACAGAAAGTCTGTCATCTAAAGGTAATCTAGTGTCATCACGGTTATGTACGCATAATAACATTTAAACACGATGATATATTAATGTACAGTACTGTGGAAAAGTCAGACGCCACCCCATTAATTTAATTTGAAACAACAAATGAAAAATACATATATCCTAACATTTTTCTCAGGTTTCTTGACAGCTACACATCCTTTCAGACTCATAGCACTGAATTGTCTTCTCACAGTGGAAGGATGGCTGTGGATGTTTTCAGATCTGAAATAGCTTGATTTTCTCCTCTCTCTCAAAGATGAAAGCTTTAAGTTTTGGTGCTTTATTAGGTCTTGAAAAAATACATAAAAAAACAAAACTAATTTATGAAATTGTCTTTAGTCATGTATTGTTATTGCCTGTTACTGTAGGTAAAATTGCCAGGCCTACAGACAGTCTAGTCTCTGTAGAAGAGGTCAGGGTCACATGGTCATCCAAAACATCTCAGATGTGCTTTTATTTTTGGACTTTTCTCAAAAGGTCCTCTTATCTCCAAGCAGCTTACTTCCAGAGGCACATGCTGGAAGGCAAAAGCTGACAGAAATGCCAGTAGATTTTAAGCAAGAATGGATGAATAAAGGATGGTCTCAGGTTTTTGCACAGTACTGTACATCAGTGTATAGATATTAATGTCAATAAACTTATAATTCTATAGATTTTTGCTTTCTTTATTAACTTTAGTAATATGTGTTTTTTTCTTTTTTATGTAGCTTATTTCTCTCTGAAAAGTCAATCCACCACAAGCAAAGGACCTTTTTATAAACCAAAAAGCAGTAATCGACTGTGTCATAAATGGTGATAATCAGGAGGAGGTGGAAGGAGCAACGGTGTCATGGACAGTTGGAGGCCGGAGCCCAGCAACTCGTGATATTCATAATGGCCATGTTAAACAGACAGAATCATCATTTACCAAAACTAGCACACTGACCCTTGAAGAGTCCGTCTGGTTTTCAGGTAGTGAAGTGATTTGCTCCACCGCAAGAGACCAAAGAACAATCTCTGACAAAATTCGTGTTGAAAAAGGAGGTGAGTCTTTTATTTCTGGAGTCAAATCTTCTTAGACCATATTAAAACACTTCTTCTGAATTGTGTGTATCTCTATCTTGTATCGTCTAATTTAAATATGATCTTTTCCTATTTAGGCGAAACCCCCTCTGTTATCATTTACAAGCCTCATAAGTCTGTCCTTGTCACTGATATGGTGTCCCTGATATGTGAGGTCAGCAGCTCTGATCTCACAAATGTGTATGTCATGTGGCAAGTAAATGGTGGACAGTACATAGAAGGCAACAGCATGACCAGCATCAAAAAGGACAACACACTGACCATCCTCAGCTACTTAACCATGTCTGGACTGCAGTACAACCGTGCAGAATTTGCATGTGCAGTCAAACATGCCAACATGGAGAACAGCTACACACTGACAACAAGGTCAACATCCATGCGTAAAGCAAACTGCCAGGCACCTGCAATAATGAGTATTAGAGTTAGATTGTAAAATCTGTCCTAACACTTTACACACTGGCCTCTGCATGTTTCAGTGTGTTCTGTGTCCTGGATGGACGTTGCTCTGCTCTGTCTTTTGCTTCCTCTGTTTTGCTCATGAACTGCTTGTATTCATTGCTATGTGCTGCCATTTGGGTAAAGCATTTCAGGTTAAAATTTGATTTAATGTTCCCAAGCATTTATTGGGACTTGGTAGGTGATCACGACTGACCCTCAGTAACATGAGCTTATTTTCACATATGCATATTATTATTATCATTATTATTATCATTATTACTATTATTATTATTCTTGCAATGCTTGAAACAATAAATACGCATAATTGCATTTGACACTATGTAGTCCATCTTTCATTTGGAAGACTTCTATGAATCTTAATTTTCCTCTCTTTAATTCTTTTGTGACCAAAATCTTTAATCAAAGCACTTAGAATATCCTGTAATTCGTATAAGAGTCTGTGTTTGAATATGTACATCAGCAGTATTCGAGTAATGAGAGAGGAGACCCAGCAACCAGAAGGCTGTGGGCTCAAATCCCACTACTATGCACTCCTGGCTGTGCAAATGGGCAAAACACCCAACCCCCAGAGCCTTAAGCAGTGCAGCTCTGCTGACTGAACTGGGTTAGGCAGCAAAATAACCATATTTTTCAATATATTTCAAGAACAAAACACTAAAATTTAACAAATACAAGCTTGGTTTAGGTTACCAAAAAAATAAAATAAAAACATTAAAGAAGTTCCATGTGACCACACTTACATTCCTACGTCTCAGACACTTAGAAACTAAAAAATAAGCCAGTTTTTGTTTTGTAGTGTAACACAATACTTGTTATGTTTATACTATACCTGTTAGTTTATACTGTAGTACAGCTGGAGTTTAACTAGGTAGCGTAACACAGTCGCCACCTTTGTTAACCCGATAAGGTCCAGATCAGAGGCTTCAGCAACCACCACACATAAACACAGGAGAAGTTATTCAGGTCATCTTTATTTAGCTTTTCACATCTGAAAAGAGCTTTGAGCGAATACAGAGAGCGTTCCCCAAGAGATAACTAAGAGAACCCATCCGTACGGATCATTACACACCAAAACACCCACTACAATCAGCTACCTAATAATTACTCACTCTCACTCTCACCACTACAAACCACCTACACTACAAAATTCTCTTACACTGAAACCAAACACTGAAAGTGTCCCTTAATCCGCCCACAGGCCGACTCACTCTTAGCCTACTTCCCTAGATCATCTACAATATTTACAATAACACATATATAAACAAGTAAAAACAAGACAAAATTAAAACATCCACTTTACCCACCTGCTGGCGAGACATGTGGCGTCCTTTCTGGATGAAGAGCCAGTTGAAGCAATGGTCCCTGTTAGCGCATGAACACCTAAACCACCTACTATTTGTCTTCATCATTGGCCACTCTGACAACAACAAATAAGCACCATATACACACTCTTCACAGCCACCCAGGGTCTCTCTCACTCCCACTCTCAGACAGGCTCTACCCGCCCCCCCACTGCACTTTATCAATTCTACACTTCCCTTTTAATCACTCACCAGGGAGGTCTCACTCTACTAATCAGAGGCCCCACCTCTACAACTGTCTCACTGCCTTATGTTGTTGTGTGACACACCCTTAATGAAAAAAAAATTTTTTTTTGGTTTTGATGGCTGAAAATCTATCTATTTATCTATCTATCTATCTATCTATCTATCTATGTATGATTTAAATATTTTTATTAGGGAGCATCTTATTGAATTCACATTGTGAAGAGTTTAAATACTTCCATTTTCGATACTTCCACTTTAAACTTTTTTTAAACATAAAAAAAAAAATCAACATTATACTTAAACACTTAAGACAATAATAGAATGTGAAACACAGGAAACGCAGACCTACCAAAATGGAAAGAACACACCTTCCAAACCAGATCCAGGTCTTGGAGCATCGAGATCCTGCCGGATAGAGATGGCACTGGCGGAGCCTACACCTCAAACAACCAGACAGGGACCCTACTGGTGGTGGTAGGGAGGAAGGAGGGGAATTTCAAGACATAGGCACCTGAAAGCAGCAGAATAGGTACGTAAGTGGAGTCATTTTAAAGACAGGCGCAGGCCCATGACTGGTCAGGACCAATGAATGAATGACGAAGCGTTAGAGTCTTCCTGGCAGAACTTTCGCTAAAGCTTCCATATACGTTGCTTCTGATCGGAGCTAAACCTTGACAGCGTTCCTGATACTCCAAATATAATAAGGATTGGATCTGGCTCCAGCTGCTCCCCAAGCATGTCTGAAAAAGCTCTGAAAATTCCTACCCGAAACTTGTGAAGCTTGGGACAGAGTGCATAGTAAGGTGAAAGAGTGGCCTCCTTTGGTGAAACATCATGAGCAAATTTGTGTAGTTTTACTTTAGAATAGTGCAACCTATGTAGGACTGTACACTGAATTAAACAGCGTCCAGTATTAGCAGAGCGATATGAATGTATGAATGTATTCAAGACAGTCATCCCAAAGATCATTAGATATTTTCACACCCAGTTCTTCTTCCCATGCAAATGTAATTGTCTCCATAGGGGGTGATTTAAAACTCTGAAAGACACTGTACAGAAAAGAAATCACACCACTTATTCCTAAAAACCCGTTTCACACGACTATTTGGTTTTACTGTGACAAAATCACATAGGTGTGTTAGTTTCTAACATGAAGACATCTAAAAAAGACTTAAAGGTAACTTATATTTCTCCTGCAGCTGCTGGAAGGAGGCAAAGGATCCCTCCAAACACAAATCACCAACAGTATGTATCCCTAGGTTTTTCCACATGACAAATGCATCATCCAGATTTGAAGAAGAAAATGAAGGGTTTGATGCAATGGGAAGTAAAAACGACATTCTCTTTAAAGTGTGTCTTTGTTTCCAAATTTGTTCTGTGTCATGATTGATGATTTGGGGAGAAATAAAGGGATGTTCTGTACATGAGGTAAAACAGCTGTGGCAGAAATATCATCTTGACAGCATTAAACCTACCCAGCAAGGAGATAGGCAGTGTTTTCCAAAACTGACCTTACGTTTGGCCATCAGGGGAGATCTTAAAAGAAATGTTATTAACTGTGTCTTTACTGTTATATCCAAAAATGCCCGGATGGGCTCAGACAGATTAGGCAAGAGGATCAATCACTAATGCGAACGATAGTGGAGAGAAAGAGCAGCCTTGCCTTGAGCTTCTGTACAACTTAAATTGTGTAAATAGTGTTCTATTAGTGAATTTCTATCTATCTATGATGCAGTTTCTCTGTGCTGGTTATGGTGTTCAGGAACACGCTAACATTGCTCATGTTCACATTGACTTAGTGGGCATTATTAAACCTGGTGGACTTTTTCTAACCCAAAATGAAGCGCAATAAATGCTACTTTCTTTAGTCTATCTAGTTTGAGAGGAGTAATGTGGTCTTGAACATGCAGATCCGCTCAGCTTCATCTCTGCTTTGCCATAGTTGTCAGAGTGAGACAAGTTCCGATGCAGTTTTCTTGCTGAATACTCTCCGCTGTCTGAGCACCAAAGTCAAAACAGAGCGCGCTGAGGCCAAAACACAGGATCACACACAGTTCAGATGTGTTCATCGTTTGCCTGACACACTTCAGTTAAAGCAAACTAGTCTTTTGTCAATGATGGAGAAAACTGCCACACGTCAGCTGCCCTCCCTTTGGCCAAAATAAGGCCAAAGGAAGATACTATTTACAGCTGGATGTGATGATGCAGTGACTGTGAGAAAGGCCAACTGACCACTGATGATTACATACCTTGAACCGCTGCACTAAAGTTCCAGCAATATCCATGTCTGCGACATCACAGTCGGTCACCACTCCCACTACTGTTGTCTGATCTGAAAATCACTGTCACTGTTATACAGACAGTGGGGACAAAACAGAGCTGGTGGGGTTATTTTTCATACTATCTTCATTAAATGTCCACTAATAAACAGAGACTTTGAATGGAGCCACTTGGTATTTACTCTCATTACTGTACTTGAGTACATTTTTCCCTGTAATGCTACTTTTTATAGTAGAATTAAATCATAGTAATTATAGTATAGCATAATATAGTCATTTTTTCTAATGCTTTGTTGTGTTTTTAATGTTAATGTTTAATGTTTTATACAGACTCTGCTGAATATTATCTTTACACTCTGATAAGGTGATTTACCTTGATACCTATAGTTTTCTATAGGAAATACCTTTAAATATAAGGAACTTTAGCTGTTTAACTGGCAAAGAAAGTGAAAATAGTTCTCTGGTTGTAATTAATGTAATTACCAGAGAAATATAAATCAGTGTAAAAGGCCTAAACTGGATAAACTGCTGTTGTTGCTAATTATTGTAATGGTAGTAATGTACTATACATGTGTCAGTGAATTTAACAGGAGTAGATCAGTCATTAATAATGACATCATTAAGGGAGTAATAACTGTTACTTCTTAAGTCTTAAGTAATCAGTTTTAATATTTGTGTTAGATTATGCAGATTCTGATAAATCCTGCTTAATGAGACCCTCTCCTGTTTACCATCACTACCTTGTTAGGAGTTGAGTAGTTGTCTACAGTTTGTCTGAGCTCTGACAGAGACGGTTTCCTGTGTGGTTTCTCTGTTGTAGATTCTAACTGACAGCCTTCTTGCAAGTATGAACTGATCTTAGTCGAGGTGGTGAAACTACACAACAGAAAGAAAAGCAAAACGTGATGAGCTTATTTAACTGGGTCAGTCTTTATGTCGGCTGGCTTCTTCATTAGCCTCTCTGCTGAGCAACGCTGGACTAGTAAGTGTACAATCTTTTCGTTTTATCTCTGTGTATCTTGTAGTGGTTACTGTATTACAGATTAAAAACTAAAGGTTAAATCCCTGTGGTCTGTTTTTCTGACATGCCATGAATGCATCATTTGTTACAATGCTTTATGAGTGTTATGGAAAGTGCTGTTGACAGTACAGTCACATGCAAAAGCTTACATGTTTTATTGATCCTCTACAGGGAATAATGTTAAACATGGTTTATTTCTACAAATTTTATTTCTATTTATTTGCTAAGGTTAACATACAAAAATAAAAGGCAACATAACTTTTGCGAGGCCACATTTCATGTTTTTTTTCTTTTTTTAATATGTGAAATTTAGCAAATAAACACTGATGGTGCATCAACATTTAACATTCGCAGTCTCTCTAGAGTCTCTCACCTAGAAAATCAATAAAACATATAGTTTGACCAGGGGTGGCCAAACTTTCACATGCACTTTTATGTTTTGGAAAGCATCTCATACCCCGA